CCACTTTTGTAACCAAAGCGATACAGATTCTGAAAGTAAACACTTCAGGCTATCTTCCCATGTGTCTATCTCAAAACCGATTTTTTGACCGATAATCGCCATTTCTAAGGGGGGCGCCCTTAAATCGCAAAAAGTTGAAGTCTGATTGCCTAAAGTTTTTCAAAAGGTCTATGGAATTCTGTAGCATAAACGATGCTACGGCTGCTAGGAAGAAAAAAACATTATGGTTATGAGTCTAAAAACACGAAACTATTTTAACCTTTTTAGACTTATAGTCAAGGAAAAAACATCATGAATAAATTGAAAGCGTCTAGACTTGATTGTTGCACAATTACTTCTCGACCTCTTCCATTATTTTTATCGCATCCAGTACATCAGAGTGACAGTTCAACAACCTCCATAGTTGTTTTGATTTCCTCCTTATAGATTTGCTAATATGCCGATCAAATGTTTATTACCATTTTTAAAGTGTATTTCATCAAACGAAGAATGCGACACTTCCTTTCCTAACACAATTGCAACTATCAAGCTCGAAACGTTGCCTAATGAATTACTATTAGATATTTTCGACTTTTTAAACTTATTTGATTTATATTATTCATTTTATGGTCTTAACTGGAGATTGAGTCAATTAATTTTATCAAAGAAACAATCACTGACTCTATTTTCTAAACATGAATTTGATTTTAGTTTAAAATCCATTTTACCAAATATTCATTGTGTAAAAGTAAAAGCCGTTCAATTATGGTATAATACTTCTTTTCAAAAAATGCCACGTTTTCTCATTCTTAATCGTTGTTCATCATTTCTACATACATTGATATTAAATTCAATGAAAAATCTGTCATTTGAAAACGTTCATTCATTAACAAAACAATTCCCACAGTTACATACGTTGAAAATCGTTGACTTAAATACACCAGAAGCTGATTGGCTTGAAGATATCAATTGGAATCAGTTAGTTGAACTTGATTTACTATATCTTCGTTCACTTTATGTTAAAATTTGTATTATTTATCTTAAAGAAATGCATGATGACGATCGTGATAATATTATCTATAGTTTTACATCGCGTTTTCATCAACCGCCAAATCGATTATATACGGGAGAATGTATACAAAATAAATATCCATTACAAATATGTTTGATGATCGATAAAGAATTTTCTATTCCGCGTCGCCCGTAAAACTTTGAGACTCTAGGCCAAAGTTCTGAATCTTTTCTCAAACATCGTTTTTTGTGCTTTCCATCGTTTTAAAAAGCAATGTTTTTGTTCTTTGTTAAGCAAAAAGCCATCGTCAAATTTTATTGTTCTAGTCATTGTACTGCCTTAACTTTTATGTAAAAGCAGCTTCTTAGTGCATTGCATTTATGTATGTTTATTTTAAAAACAGGCAAGTTTACCTCTGGTACCGTGTCTCAAACTTTCAGTACAATTTCTAGCTGCAGTTATGAAAGAAGACTTGTAACCCTCTACAGAACCAAATTTTGCATAGGTAAGAAAGCCATGTCTTTATACCGATCGGAATAAACGGTTTAACCTAGGAGAATCTATAAAAAGAATATCATAAATCATTCAGAAATACAAAGATCCCAAGGGATTGATTATACGAACGTTAAAGTACAACCGAATATTCATACGGGCGTCCAGTGCTGTCCAAATGAGATACGTTTCTACCACTTTCGCAGTACTCGAAAGCTTGTCGTCGTATACTTCATCGGAGCTGAAATATGCAACTTCTCTATTGCTCTAGACATTGATTCTTATATACGGATCTCACAAGAAACATGCAAAATACTTATCAACTTTTTATAAATTTCTGATAAGATCCTTACAAGATTCGTATATGAGATGTTGCATGGAAGTGATAAGAAATTCAATCTGGCACTTTCACCATGCCGTAATCTTTATCTACAAAGGAAAAGAAGTCATTTTTAATGGAAAGCTCATGGCAGTTCAAAGTGAGAATAAAGCAATTTTGCCTTTCTACTATTCACTTCACCCTTTAAAATCATCATGTTATCTCTTGTTACACTGCTGAATGCAATTTTTCGATAATCCTGAAGGTCGGGAATCCCGAAACGGGAATTTCAGGATGTTCCCATTCCGATGCATGCCTAATTAGGAGCAGCATTCTGCAATTTTAATCTACAGTTTAATCGTAGACTGTGCAGACGGAAAAAATCGGTCCGTTAATTGATAGAATACACATCGTTACTTTATACCCACTAAATGTCGTAACTTCTTCTTCTTTAAAACGTAAAGAAAGATCCTATGTCGTTAAAATCGCTCCATTCTGGATGATTACTTGCGATTAACAATAAAATCGCCAGTTATTCGCAATTCTCACCATAAATTGCGATATATCGGCGATTTTTAACAACTGGCGACTAATCGATTTGCATGAAAAATCGGTAGTTGTTAAAACTCACCGATATATCGCCATTCTTAAAGATCCTGGTGATTTTTCTGTTTTTTTAATAATGGTCAATTAATTGCGATTAATTGGTGGTTTTAAGCCGTTAAATGGTTTTTATTATTCCCCGTTTTATTCTGCAGTAAAGTATATAAAAAACATGATTTCAACAAGACATGTTCTTCTTTTCAGATGGTCTTTTTAGTTTAGCTTAAAACAGAGTTGCCGCGGATGTTCTCTGTAGTTTCCTCAGAGCTAATTCATTGTTTCCATTTGAGTCAGCTTTGTACCGAGGAGCCCAGCTGACTGCATAACTAAAAACTCGCTGAGTAATCGCTAAAAAATCGTCGATTTATGGCCGATTTCGACTACATAGGGACCACCTTTTTTATGAAACATAATCAGTGGCGGTTAGTAGCGAAATTATTATTACCTTTTTCGTTACAGAAAAGGTCACGCCTTGGGAACTTGGACTGGTACTTCACACGCGCGCAGTCCTCATGACTGCCTTTCTGTAACTTCTCTCAACACAGTTGAGAGTATATGCGTAGAACATTGTCGAAACAATTCGGTGATAACGTTCTAACAGATTTAGAGAAAAGACGAATTTATTGTCAAAATTCTTTATGAATGATGCGAGTTTATTGTGGTTAAAAAGAGAGAAGATGATCTTAATGTTTAAACTCGACTTGTTTGTACTAAGTAAATTTTGTTTTACAACCGCTTTTTTCGTTTGTTATGTTGTAAAATAAAATTTACTTAGTACAAACAACTCGAGTTTAAACATCAAAATTGTGGAATATTTTAATATTTCAGGTTTTGGCTAGCGAATGATGAAAACTACAAGTTTGTCTTTTATTCGATTTGAGTTATGCAAAAAATAACCATAGGTCTTGTATTTTGGAACGAATGGTAGTCTTGAATTCATGGCAGTGTTGACCTTATTTTGTCAAGAGAATGATTTACATATTATCTACAAACATAATCTACAAGTCCTAGCCAAGTGTCTTGAGTATTCTCGGGTTTCTTTGGACTTAATTTTCGCGTCAACCACATTAAAAGCCTACCATGCTTGAATACAAGTTTCACAAGTATCATCTGGTTTTTCAAAGATATTCTGAAAAATCTGTATCAAAAATAATTTTCAAATGCTCTTTGTTATAAAAAATTCGATCGAAGTTTTGACTGCACAATACAATGGCAAAAGTCGCAGATCTCTTTGCTATGAAAAGCTATTCAAAAAGTAACCATGGATTTTGTTTTGAAAATGCGTAATAGTTTATAACAGTCATCATATAGTGATACAGTCATCATCAGTGGGAAGAAACCAAGAAAAAAGAAACGAAGAATTAACGTAAGAAAAAAGAAACGACGAAGAACTATTATAAGTACCGGAAAAAGAAAATATTCATATATTTTTTCATTCATTCTTCTCAGAAATAAGAACAGGGACGAACACATAAACATTCTATAATTTAGTTTTTCAATATTTTTTTAAATCATCATTTTATTGTTACTAGGATGCGTTGAAGTAAGTAGTAGTACTTAGGGCATACCAAGAGTAGTGATTTTGACACTTTAATACCGTATAATAAGCTTTAAGAAATTTCTCTCTATATAGTCTGATAGAGAAAAACATGCTCTATTTTTCTATGCTATTTGATCATATTTCAACTAAAGTTATAATAACGAAATTCCACTAAGAGCTGTTTTTTCGTATGTTTCACGGTTACAGGAATGCTAGTGAGTATTTTTCAAATAATTTTTGATAGAAACACGATAGAGAACTACACTTTTCACCATTGGAAAGAGCAGATGAAGATGCATCGAATCGTGTATTATAAGTTTTTGTAATATTGGTTTCTGAAGTATTTGTATTCAATTTTCTAACCATCGGGAAAATGTTTTTTTTATGAAAAAAGGAAAAAGCATAAAAGTGAGCATTTCTCACGGAAATTGCTAGAAAATCGTATTAAAGGCTCAACTAGAACATGTATTATTCATCTCAGCCTTCCGCAGTTTGTAGTTCTTCAATTAGTAGTTTGAATGCGCACCTGATTATTGACACT